ACAGAAAAAGCATTCTACAAGCATTTCATATTGTCTGAGAGGAAAACAAACAACGTTCGCCAGATTCTAAGTCCGAGTGCTAGGGCTTAGAATACAGATAGTTGAATCCTGGGAGGCAGTCACCTGTAGAACTTCAAGCACCGAGAAGGGGTGAAATTACTGTCTTTAGGACATTGCATCAAATCTGCAAGCCTCTATCTCAAATTCAAGTCAGTTTTATTTATTGTTCATATACTGTATTCTGTGTTACAGTTTGTTATAAATTCTGTTTATATAATTGTTTTAATCAGTCATTGATAATTGTCTAACCAACAAATTAATCATTACATGAAAGGCTTTTATATAGCCAATGATCAGAAGCATAAACAATAACTAAAAAGATTCATTCTAACAAGCCTAACTAATTAAGCTAATCCAAGCCTATTTAGTTGCAACTATCACGTGCTATTTGTAACTGAGTTTGTCCATGTGTATGACAGTTGGGCCTATGATCCAATGGTTTGGATCGCTCAAGAGCTAGAGGAGCAGCAGGCTGAGCCAAAAGGAGCTGCACAAACCTAAAGCTTGGATTTGAGCAAATGAAAACGATCAACATAAAGAGCTTTTGTGAGAAGATCAGTAATCTGAGCATGAGTGGAAATATGACGAACCACAATAGCATTACTAGTAACCAACTCGCGAAATAAGTGATAATCCAGTTTGACATGCTTTGTGCAAGGATGAAACACAGGATTCGAAGCCAAGGCAAGAGCACTTTGATTATCTCACACCACATTAGTGGTTTCATATGAAGATAAAAGTGCAAGTCACGAAATAACTGGCAAAGCTAGATGAGTTCAGCAGACGTGTGAGCAAGAGAACGATATTCGACTTCGGTGGAGTTACGAGCAACAATAGGATGCTTCTTAGAGGACCAGGAGATCAAGTTATGACCAAAGAAAACGCAAAAGCCACTGGTAGAGCGACGATCAAATGGGCCACTAGCCCAGTCAGCATCATAAAATGCTTGAAGAGTAGGTGTGCCAGGCTTAAAAAGCAACCTTTGATCAATGGTACCTTTAAGATATCGTAATAAAAGCTTGGTAGCTTGAAAATGAGGGAGGTGAGGAGAATGCATAAACTGACAAAGTTGCCCCACAATGAAAGATATGTCTCGCCGAGTCCAAGTAATACACTGTAATGCACCCACAATGGACAGATAAAAGGTGGGATCAGGAAGAAGGTCCTCACTGTGATCCAATTTAACAAAACCAATAGTTGTAGAACACGGCTTGGCACCAACCATATCATGCTTGAGCAAAAGATCATTGTAATACCTCGAAAAAAAATTAAAAGTGGACTTTCATATTTTAGTGAAAAACAATAATGATAATAATATTATGGTGAAGAATAAATATGCGTATTTTATCAAGTGATTTTGGACTGAGATTATTGGATTAAGTGTGTTTAATTTCAAGTTGGACAAAAATGCCCTTATGTAACATTTTGTGAATTTTTCGAAGGATATTTAAGAAATTGAGATGAGACCATTATGATTCTTAGGTATAAGAATAAATATGCGTATTTTATCAAGTGATTTTGGACTGAGATTATTGGATTAAGTGTGTTTAATTTCAAGTTGGACAAAAATGCCCTTATGTAACATTTTGTGAATTTTTCGAAGGATATTTAAGAAATTGAGGTGAGACCATTATGATTCTTAGGTAGTACAATAGTAGTCGACTCAACGAATACGTAGGAAATCATTTCTGAATTTTGGGCCAAAATGACCAAAATACCCTTGTAGGCGGAAAAAAGAAAAAGAAAAATGAGAATCTGAAACGTGGAGGGCATCAACCCACCCTCCTCCCATTCTTCCCCCCTTGCCTCAAGCATTCAAATCCACCATTTATGAAAGGATGAGTCACCTATTCTAAATTGACCATGAATTTATTCTCTTCCTCCCCATTCATTGTATCATCACTCTCTTCTAAATTGATGACTCACCTAGCCTAAGACGCCTAAGACTCTTCAATCATGAATTTATTGTTTTCCTCATCATTCATTGTATCATCACTCTCTTCATCATTCACAGTATTTTCATCCTCATTCTTCTTTTGTTCCTCTTCAAAATCCAAAATTCGTCACTTCCTTGGAGCAGCCGAGAACTCAAATATAGAAAGCTCAAATGAGAAAACTTCCTTCATAAAAGTTGTTCATTTACGTGATTCCTATGACATGCTTCAATTTCATCTCAATCTGACTTGTATAGACTTCGAAAAATTGGTGTGATCACAATAAGTTTACCATTTCCTGATTTCACAGTAGTATGCTTGGTTTCAATATGTTTATGTGATTTCCTATACTCAAATTACTTTGGTTCCTTCATCAAAAAATTTTGAAATTCTGTCTATTATAATTGGTATGAACAAAACTTGTTCATTGATTATATTGAATTTCTTATTATAGATTCTCTCAAATTGCTTGTTACTTTTCATTCCATTGATCAAATTAGCCACTATGATCTCAAGTAAATGATTCTTTGAAGGTATGAAGCTCATCTTCATATTATCTCTTTGAGTACTAGTTGTAAATCAAATGTTGGTTAGAATGCCTCAATGACATATATCTCTTTCAAAGTGTGTTTCTGTGAAGTTCTAGATTATTTTGATGTGATTTTGTACCAATTTCATTCTGGGATTTTGTTACATCAAAATTGATATCTCAAGGGTTATTTCAAAGTTGGTTTTGTGCCATTTGAATTTAAACTGATTTTGTTGTTGTTGTTGTTGTTGTTGTTGTTGTGAAATTTCAAAGTGGAGACTATGTTGTTGGAATTGTTCTGATTCTATCGCATGGCCTGTTTTGAATACGTGTTTGAAAACTTCATGAACTTGAATTTTCATGAAATTTTAGTATGTTTTACTTTCACGTATTTTCTTCAAATATGGAAAGCTTTATCCAATTTGGTTGTAAATTGAAATTTTGGTGAGTTTTCAAAATAAAGTGTACAAACTTAAAAAAAAGAACATTCTACAGCCTAGTCTGTTTTGGTTTCTATGTTGACATGCTTCCTTAACCCTAATTTCCCTCAAATTTTGACATTTTTAATTTATCTATGTCTAGTTGTGTTCTGAAAATTTTTATGTTATTTTTATTTAAACTCAATATTTAGTGAATTTTCAAAATTAATGCGTTCCAACCTAAATGTTTAGTAAAACTGAAGTTTTTGTTTTAAATTTTCTTTACGAGTATAGAGCCGAACCACCTGATTTTAAACATCCCAAATAGTAGAACTATTATAGGAGGGGAATAAATTGGTTTTTCCTTGACGCTTGGTTCTATGCTTGCTTGGACGTGAGGTAAAGACAGTAGCGATCGGGTCGAACAACTTGTTAAGCGTATTATGGGGCTTTAGGTCTATGTGTGCCAGTAGGACACTCAAACATGTTTCCTTATTTCCAGTGAATTTTAATCAGTAAATTATCTTAATTAGGTGTTCTACTCTGCGTACATTCAAGGACGAACCCGCACAAGGTTAAGCTAGCTGGACATGAGGTAGGGTTTCCTAACTTCCCGATGATAATGTCATGTCACTTTTAATCTGGGTGCTTATATAATACTATAAATATGAATATTATTGTTGCTTTGCTTGGTGAATATTATTATTGATGTTTCTCCATAGATAGTATTTGACGTTGGGTGAATATTATTATTCATGTGATTAAGCCTGAAATATTATTGTTATTATTTGTATTATTATTCCACACAGATAAATAATGTTTGCACTGCATTACATATGCATCATAAATACAGTTGTGTTGGGTCTATGTGTAGTTTAAGGTATATCTAAGGGGTGGGAGAAGGCTTTAGATTTATCTGAGTAAAAACAATGTGGAATATATTCAGGTGACTAGAGCATGACTTGAATATATTGTGGTAATGGGAGCAGGGCCTCTAATGAAAAGTGAAAGATGAGAAATTCATAAACAAAAGAAAAATGGGTTAAGGGGCGGATGTACACTAGTTTATATTTTAGGGTATTCAGAGCCACAATGGTAAAACGTATGGTATGGGATATGCAGGCTTGTTGCCCTAAGGAATGAATTAGTGGGATTAGAAGGGAGTGAGTTCATGGCATCACCACATATGCAAATTCATTTATCTGGTATGATTGCATAATTTTTGTATCTTGTGTTGTTTGATGCATGACACTTTGATTAACTGTGATAGCTAACCTTAAGGGGTTTGACGATACTCTATTAGGCATTAGAATGCTCAAACCCTAATAGATTGCGCAGGATTTAAGAAGAAGTTTGAGGAAGCGGGTTTCAACTAAGCTGCTGGGCTTTTGTTGTTGATTTGTGTAATTAA